GTCCACATACACCAGATACTGGAGGCCTTCACACTTCTAACAGGTCGGCGCTGCAGTGCTGGAACGGCAGATCTGGAGGACGATCTTCCACACGGAGTGGTTCCTTCGGTTGTGAGGCGCTGTGCAGGCGGCACTTGTCACAACTGCAGACAACATGCTCGATGTCGGCTGACAATCCTGGCCAGAAAACAATCTGCGGGCACGGGACTTCGTGCGCGTCAATCCTTGATGGGATGCGTGTGGATCAGACAAGACACGCTGCCGCAGCGCGATGGGAATCAGGAGACGAGGTCCTTTCATCACCAAACCACTGTCAATAAAGAGGTGCTCATGACCATTCCAGTACTGCTGGAGTGACAGGCATGAGGGCCCTCTTTGCAGGGAAGCCAGACACGATGAAATTTCATTCATCTTGGGCACCCTGTAAGAAGACCTGAAGCTGTGTTCACAACTGGCGCGTGGACGCGGTACGCTTGCGGTTCATGCGTGCCTGAACGCGCGCTCAAGCTATCACATATCACAAAAAACAGCAATCCGAGCGCGTGCGACACCTTCGAGTACTAATTTTTTGACCCCGCCAGTCAAAGTGACTGGCATGTAGCCTGGTGCGCAACATGTTGGAATTTCCATTTCGGCGCGTTTCCGTACGCATGGCGCCCCAAAAGCCAGCAAATATACGCACAAACGCGTGGTTTCACGCGTACACGCGCCAGTTGTGAACACAGCTTGAGGCTTAGGGTCTGTTGGGAATGCCCAAGTAAAATAATAAAATACAAAACAATACAAAAAATGAACTAAACTAGGCACTGGTACATGTACAGTGGTAGTAAGTGTCGGCCTGGGCTGCGGAACGGAGCTCCTGGTACTTCAGGCCACCAGACGTGTCAAGCGTGCACGCACGGATAGCAGCGCCCTGAGAGACAGTAGATCTACTCTCATCCAGTTCGTAATCAGGGCAGGGGTCGCTGACTGGATGGCGGCCCTTGCTGGGCCAGAGCATCAGGGAAAGCATGATCCGTGCCTTTCCGCCAGGTTGCGTGTAGCTGATACTTGATAGGGCCGCAGTTTCAGGACGAACCGCTGCAGCCTGGGATTCTCTATCTGATCCAAGTACAGTAGGAATTCAGAATAGGGAGGAGCGGGCGGTGGTCAGTAACAACTTTACTTCAAACCGATCCGAGCACTGGAGAGGTAGATTGAGCACTTGCATACTGCCCAGGTATATTATTTATTTATTCCCGTAGCTACATGTATGCAGAAGACGTTACTTCAGTAACGTCTGGCGCTAGCCAGGGTCCACACAGCTTTAATTCCCGTAGCTATGCAGAAGACGGTAACGTCTGGCGCTAGCCAGGGTCCACCCAGCTTTAATTTGGTATTTGTTTGTGTGTGTGTTTGTTTGTTTGTTTGTTTGTGTCACGCCTGGCGCTATCCCGTATCTGACGGCAAAAAATCATAGGGATATTATAAATTTTTCAATTCTCCTATTTTTTTTTTCAGGCATATCCTGGGATTCAAACCCGGACTATCGCCATACATGCATTCCCCCATACACTTCGCATTCATACCCATTCTTCCAAGTTGCTTCACGTTATGATCTTGCGTTTGAAAGCCTTGAATATTGCGGGCAGGTGTATGTGGCCAACTGTGTTTGATGGTACGGTACGGTACGGGAGACGGTGTCGTATTACCCTCGATCGTACCTGTCCCGTACCTATCCCTACCGTACCGTACCATCAAAGACGGCTGGCCACAATGCATAATAGGGCTTTCAAATGCAATATCATAATGTGAAGCAACTTGGAAGAATTAGTATGTATGCGAAGTGTATCGGGGGATGCATGCAGGGCGCGATAGTGCGGGTTCGAATCCCAGGTTATGTCTTTTAAAAAAGGAATTTTTTAAAGACCGGGGGATGCATGCAGGGCGCGATAGTGCGGGTTCGAATCCCAGGTTTAATATGTCTTAAAAAAAAGGAATTTTTTAAAGAATTTATAACATCCCTATGCTTTTTTTTGTCTAGGTCATCAACGCAAAAAAAGCATAGCGTAGGGCCCTGAGCTTCCAAGCTCTCTCGTTTGGTATTTGTGTGTTTGTTTGTTTGTTTGTTTGTGTCACGCCTGGCGCTATCCGTATCTGACGGCAAAAAAGCATAGGATGTTATAATTTTTTCAATTCTCCTATTTTTTTTTCAGGCATATCCTGGGATTCGAACCCGCACTATCGCCATACATGCATTCCCCCATACACTTCGCATTCATACCCATTCTTCCAAGTTGCTTCACGTTATTATCTTGCGTTTGAAAGCCCTATTTGAATATTGCGGGCTGCTGTATGTGGCCAGCTGTGTTTGATGGTACGGTACGGTACGGGAGACGGTGTTGTATTACCCTCGATCGTACCTGTCTCGTACCTATCCCCTACCGTACCGTGCCATCAAAGACGGCTGGCCACAATGCATATTCAAATAGGGCTTTCAAATGCAAGATCACAATGTGAAACAACTTTGAAGAATTAGTATGTATGCGAAGTGTATCGGGGGATGCATGCAGGGCGCGCGATAGTGCGGGTTCGAATACCAGGTTATGTCTAAAAAAAAAGGATTTTTTAAAGAATTTATAACATCCCTATGCTTTTTTTTGTCTAGGTCATCAAGGCAAAAAAGCATAGCGTAGGGCCCTGAGCTTCCAAGCTCTCTCGTTTATTCTTCTTTCACTAGGGAATTCCCAACAGGCGTCAGCGCCTTTTTACAGGGAACCCTAAGTATAGGTACCGTAACCGCAAGGCATTCGAGCTCAATGACGACGTATGTCGTCTCAGCATCGGAGAAGAACCGGCTTCCACATTGGAGGATGCACCAGGTGTCGCCCTGCTGCTGCCACAAAACATAACCAAGTCCGTTCTTCACGAACGCATCAGTTTCTAGCCGAAGCGGTCGGCCAGGCTGAAAGAACGACAGTTCCGGGGGAGAAGCCAGGGCAGCTTTGACGTTATTAAACGCGTCGGTGTGTACCGTCTCCCACAGGAACTCATTCGTGGATTTCAGCAATGGGCGAAGCGGGTCGCTGAGCTGTTCAATACGGGGCGAGAAATCACTACACTGGTTGATTAGCCGGAAGAATGAGCGGACGTCAGTGCGATTAACGGGTACTGGGAAATCAGTGATGGCTGCCGTCTTGTCACTGTCGACGGTGTGACCATCAGTGTTGATATGGTAGCCACAGTAGTCGACTTCTGGGACGCCGAAGACGAACTTTTTGGTGTTCAGGGTAATGCCGTGCTGACGGGCGCGGAGCAGAGCGTCACTAACTTGGGTGAAATGAGCCGTCAGTTCGGTATCGTACACAAGACCATCGTCATCCGCTTTAACAAAGTTGGTGAGACGATCAAACGCCGCATCTGTGCGAGAGTAAAACACATCCCCAGCAGATACAAGGCCCTGCGGGTTGCGAAGGAACTGGTACCGCCCCCACGGTGTAATAATGTGGTTAACGGCTTGGCATCGTCGGACAGCGGGACTTGCCAATAGCCATGTCGGGCATCAAGCTTCGTGAAGTAGCGAACTTTGACGATGGCTGCCACTGCATCATGTGGTGTACGAGCAGGATGGGTGGGTCTGCGTACCTGATCATTCAACTTCCGAAGGTCCGCAGTCAGTCGCATCTCCGTAATGCCCTTCTTCCTAACGTGAACGATGGGATGGCACCACGCAGAGGGTTCCGTGACTGGCTCGATAATACGATCATCGATCAGACTGTCCAGTGAGCGTTTATGTGGACCCAGTAGGCAAACGGTATGGTGCGGGCAGTGCGGACCCAGCTGGGTTCGGCACCTGGTTCCAACTGGATGTCCATTGGCGGACTGTCCATAGGTGGAAGCTGTGACCTGTGGAAAACGTCGGCAAACTCTTCCAGAAGCTGGTGTTGGAGCTGCTGAGCAGTGTTGGGTTCAGTACGAGCACTCTGCAGAACGGACAAACACAGAGTGCCAAGAAGCAGGCAACAGGTTCAAGGCACAGATGCTTTGGCGGGAGAGCAGTACCCCATCCAGGCCTTGTTTCCAAAATACAATACTGGTGCCGCTATGCTTCATTTGCAATAGGTTCTTGTGCAGTTGTATGGACTTATCGTCACTGTGATATCAGTTTCATGCTCACCATGGTCACTGTGTACGGTACGACGAGTCCAACCCAAAAGCGTATGCACGTGATCATAATTATGGGACCAAAATCGATGTTCCCGCCAGGTTTCACTGTGAAAAAGTGAAACTGCTCGGTCTGCTCCGGCCTGGAGGCCGGAGCAAGCAGAACATGTTCTGGCCGACCCAGAACAGGTGCAGTCCCAACCAAACGCGCTGTTCTGGTGAATCCTGTTCTAGTTCGTACCAACCAAACGCGCCCTTAGACAATCGGGTAATATGACTTTGAAGTCATTGAACTACTTCCAAATGTTGTGTCAACATCAACAGGATGACGATTTCAGTGCAATATGATGCAGGATGACCTTATCAACACAACTCATGACTACAATTCTAAACAGAGAATCCACAAAAACATCTGCGACATGCACCTGGTTACATTTCTCAAATCAATTTGCCATTATAGTCTTCCCTGTGGGATGTGCGCAAGTGCGTCTCATGATAAATAGAGTGGGTCTTGTTTGTTTGTTTGTTTTTGGGGGGGGGGGGCTGCTGGTGACCCTATAAACGTATAACCACATTGTACATCCATACTTCAAACCATGTTACCGCACACTACAATAATTATACAGAAAAGGATTCGGGGGCTATTCTCGCGACATACTCATGCACATAATAAACCCGTCCATAATCTCAATATCCCTTATGCACGTCCCGTTTGTGACTGCATCCCCAATACGATCGCGAAATCTGCATGCCGTTGCAGGCAGATGACCATTCACAAAATACACAGCGAGTGATACAGACAGTTTGGTGGTCTTTAAATCTTTTTGCCATCTTTTAAAGATAATAATATTATTATGGTTGGAATATCTAAAGGTTATCAGACATTGTGGTTGCAATATCTAAAGGTTATCAAATAGATACCAAACAGGAAGAAAGGGTTAGGATATAATCAAAATATATATTAGCCGGAGGTCTTATAATTACCACCAGACAAGTCTTGTGGTAAACAGCAGGCAATTGGCATCGGCTGGCTGGTACTTGAGCTATTTCACTGAACACCCGAAGCTAGAAGATGACAGTGCCTCCCCAGCGACGATCTCCATTGCCAGCATCCTGGAAGGGAAAGCATGAACGTGACGAATCATCGAGATAAGCAAGAGTGAGTTAACCTCTTGTGTGCACTAATCTGTTTGAAGTCAGGAGCAATAAGTGGGAAATGTACAAAGAGCTATGCCGAACAATACTTCGCTTTTTCTTAAACAACATCTTGAAATTCAAAAAAACGTTAGGATTACAACCTAACTAGAAGAACCTGACCCTGACTACATGCATCTACATGCATCATGAAAAAGATTCGCTTCTATTAGTACCCTTTACAGCAGTCGTATTAGCAATGCCATGTCTGGTTGCTTGTACAGTGTATGCATGGAAGGGAGAAGATCAAAGTGGAAACATGTTTGTGTCTCAAGTATGAACATACAGTGTTTTGGCACACAAATATAAGGAAAAGGAAAACAATTTTTTTACGTCAGGTTGGCGTTGCGAACAAACCCATTCTCAGTAGTAACTCGCGATTACAACAGCTACGAGGAAATGCATACGTTGCAGCTCTTCTGCGAAGGGTAAATTCCATAGTACTGTACTGGTACACCCTGAGCAGCAGTCCAGCATTGTCGGAGGAGATCTACGCCAAATTGTAAAATAGTGTGAGTGACTTTGCAAAGGCAAATAGGGAAGCAGCAGTTTTCGGCCTGCTTATCAATAAATGATATGGAAATGCTTTATTGACTTTGCAAAACACCCAGTTATTGTTTGAAGAGCTGCCCGACTCACCAGACACCAGTACCAAGAGTACTTACCCCCTGGGTATTGTGCACTCTTGCTAGTCCAATCATGTAGGTAGAGAATAGACGATTTAAAAATGTTGTAGCCTGGATAGGTAAGAAGCAGCTTGAAAATTGTACGCCGCTATGTAATTGTATTGTTCTATATTATTTTAATCGATTCTATTATGTTATCGATTCTCCAGAACTTAGCCTGAATCTAGGCAGTCTCCGTCAACTGCTCGTTGGGAAAAGACCAATAACCTGCACAGATCGTATACATGTACGTATGGGTAAAGAATTTTACTAGTCCTATAGTCCATGTCTTGTCCCGTGTTAATCATTGAAAGTCGCCCCGTGAATACAGCAGTGGGCAAATCCAATCTTCAGAGTACTAGTATGCGGTGCTAGTACTTTGCAGTGCTCCGCTTTATTCGACTACATGTAGCACTACAATTTTTGTAGTCTATCCTCTTCGTCTAGGGTTGCATCGCCAGAGCTGTGGACAAGCCTCACTTGGCAAGTTGCCACCACTGCGTAAATTATTGTAGAAACTGCAATGTTTTGACTTACCAGATTACCAGCGAGGCGAGTAGGTGGTGAAAGGCGCTCCTACTTCGCTGTGCATGCTAGTCCCGAACATGTTGGATGCGGTGTAGTAGCACACGTACTCCGTCCTCGGCTGTAGACCTGTAACGCTCACCTGCGCGATTGGCCTGTAGTTCTGGATGATGCTGTTGGCGTGGCCAGAGACAGTGACATGCGGCGCTGTTCCAGTAGTTGTGCAGTGTACTGTGATTTTAGTGATGGGCTTGTTCAATGAAGGGCCGAAGATAAGGAAACCAGCGTGGTGACTGCCCAATGTATGTCGGAACAAAATTGGTGCGTTCAATTCACCGGCGCTCCATTTTGGTACAGCAGCACCTGCAGCAGACGTGACAAAATGTGGAATTTGGAGGAAAACTTTAGAAGAGAAACATAGAAAGTAGGAAGAACTTGAAGTAAATATTTCATGACAACGCGCCTGCTCCTTTGTAGGATAGAATACACTGCCCTCGACATAACGTATTGTACTCGATCTGTGGAGAGTAATGTTTCGTCCTTTGTGAACACGTGCAGCACAAAGACAATAATCCCGAACATGATAGAAACACCCCTTAGCTATGTATGTTTTTACTCCGTATTCCCGGTATTTCCCTCATGTGTGAACATCTGGGAGTGATACTGGAACGTTTCATGTCCTTCAACATTATGAAGATACTCGCAGATTGAGTGAAGATACTATCTCTTCGGTATCCGCATCGTCCGCGTATTGAAAAGCGCGAGCTGCCACGTAGAGAGCGGCACACGATTTCCATAATTATTATTGAAGTTATCGCCGAAAACTACTTCGGCCCATACCATTCTGTGGCTCTACAAGTAGGCCTGGGGTTTCCCCTGTATTTTTCCCAATGGGCAAGGTGTTTCTACTGAGAGAGAGCACGAGTATTAATTGTATTGTAGACTAGTAGTGTATTGTTTTGTATTTTTATTATTTTGACTTGCGCATTCCCAACAGACCCCAAGGTCTTCTTACAGGGTACCACGAGTGGTTACGAACTCTTATTATTATCATTATTAACTTTCATTTTACTAGGGTGTTTCCCACAGACCTATGGTCTTCTTACGGGAGCCCCTAGGAAGGTTATGCATGAGCGAATGATGAGCGGTAATCTGCACAAGTACGAACAGTGGAAGGCAGCACTTGTTTTTGTACCGTTAAACAAGGTCTTTAGTTTCGCTCAGATTACACATCACTTTCATAAAATTTAATTAAACTAGTAGCCTATTGCAGAAGCACCTGCATATGTCAAAGTCATTTTAAAAAATGTAGAAGAAAACATCGAATTCAGTTGCGTACCAGCATCTAGAAAGCCTACAGTCCTTTATAAGGCAGTTCGAGTCAATAGAACGCTAGGAATACTAGCGTCCATTTCTTTGACTTGCGAGTCACGTGAATCCCTAGTTCCTACGTTGATTCAACAGACTGTTCATCTTCTTACCTTCTACAGGTGCTGTGAGGCCACAAATGGATGCAAGTACCACCAAGATGAGGGTAGCCATCTGCAATAGAGTACAAAATGAATGTGACCATCATGAAGCAAGAGCGCATGGCCAGGTTTCCTTGTTGCACAAAACAGGCACGTGTGCATGTATAGAAAATGACAACCCAGTGTTTTCAGCAAACAATAAACTTCTACAACAACAACAACAACAACAACTACCGGTAACACTTGCACTGTCACTGATCCATTTTGCATGTACCGTTGTATACATGACAGACATCTAACCGCCTCACGGTCTGTTCGTAAGTACGTATTACTAGTATTAGGTCAGGCGCGTAGATCTACGCATGGTTTCTAACCGAGTAACAACCAATGAGTTTTTTAACCCTTTTCTTTTGAAGCCACGGAAAATGTTCCATATTCTGCATTTTTCCGTGTTCCTTGGATAGTAACTCCAGTTCCACTCCGACTCAATCTTCACAATCTTGGGCTTCCTAGAAAGGTAAAACAGTGTACGTGGAGAGGAAGAGAATGGTGTCAACCGTGATAGTGATACTGATAGCCATGACTGTCGAAACTGTTTATTGCCAGCGCTGGAGTTCAGCGACGGTGCGCCCTTCTGCAGGTACATGTATTTACCACTATTTTGGGTTTCTCAATCGCAGAGTTTCGATTTTTCGCTGTGTACTCGTGAGAACATCACAAGTGAAACCGTGCAAATTTGAGAAAGTCAGAGCGACGAAAAGTCTCAAATTCTCAATACTCAAGCCGCGCTGCACGCTTTCGATATTGCCGAGATCGCGGCTCAACTTACGAATGATGTATCTCAAGAACCATTGCTCGCAGCCCTTCGCGACCGACAGCTGAGAGTTTTCTCGTCGACTTGGATATTTGGATTGGATCGAGATTTGATTGAGTTACAATCTGATGAAGTTTTTCATTCTTGTCAGATCGATCGCGCGCACTACCTAAAATTGCCCAAAACGTTGCACGTTTGGAAGATTTGGGGGGTTTCCGGGCAACGGGAAACCTCCCCCCCCCCTGCGTACGCGCCTGTAGGTGCAGGGGAAAGAGTGCCATGCTTACGGGAAGGAGTGCCAGTGCCACTTCAGGAGATCAACTCAGTACCTGTGCCCACGTCATTTCTTCAACAGAATAATCAGCACCTGTTGTTGTTGACTTGTTGTTGTATTGGTCGACTGTCGGGATCGCAACAAGATAATGAGTACCCTCCCTAACTGACCTAATCTCGCGGTCATCACACACACACACCATGTCCGGCTCATTTTCCTCCTGAAGTGATGAACTTTTCGCTGGTGTAATGTTTTATTCAGTAAACAATACGACGGTGGGGATTTTTTTTTAATTCAAACAAACTGCCATTGCGAATTTGTAAAAAAAAACGGCGATTGCGCTGGACAAAGAAAATACAGACAGTTGGAAATTGGCGTGTCCGCTGTTCTCTGTAGCTTTTGTCTTCTGGTAATTGGCAATAAGAGGAGATAGTCCGCTAACTACAGAGCCAAGAAGCGTGTTTTCTACGGGAACCAGTTCCGGAGCCCCAAGCGCAGAGATCTGGAGGAAGAGAACGAGCCTGCATCTCGTGCTCAAACTGAAAGTGACTCTGAGCACACACACACATATACACACACACGCACACACGCACACACACACACACACAGTACAGTGAAGAGGTTACAGTTTACGATCGTTTACCCGGCGAAGTACAAGTATTACGGGTTAGCTAGCTGGTAGCCACGAAAAAGAAGTACAGGTACTGAAGAGTGAAGACTACAATGTAGTTCAGCTGAAAAGAAGCACCTACTTGTACCCGCCGGTTGGGCTAGTGATTGTAGTTGGCTCGGATTTGGAAGGTCTGGATAACGCTGACTATGTGAGGCTCTACTGGCACTGCATACACCGTGCAGTGCTGGACATGTGCAATGTAGGTGTTCAAGTTGTTGGTGGACAATAATTATTATTGACGGAAGTTAGTTACAAGGTGTAGAACACACTGTCGGTGCTGAGATCTATGCTGCTGATTGCAACCATAAAGCGGTTGGCCGCAAGAGGGGGCTCTACCAATTGGGATTATCCAATATAGTAGCAGTCTGGAGAACTGCTCTCCATACTGTGACATGTCTGTGCTGGACACTTTGCTGTACGTGCAAGCGCTGCACACAGCCCATCACCACACACTGACACTACAGGCTAGTAGGAGTAAATACGCTCCCAACAAACGCCCTTGAAGATTCTAGATGCTTGTATATACTAGGTTACAAGGGCACTGTCGAATGGCAAGGCGTCACGAACAATCACGAACACAATATTATCATCAATGTCAACAGATTAGACTCGGACAGATAGCTAATGATACTAAAGTAAAAGGGAGGTTCAAAAGCTTACAGGGTTATCCGTTTTGTCCAACAATAACACTACTTTTGTAAGCATGATACTGGCGAGTCAGAAGTAGCAACAATATTAGCAGATCACTGACTCATGTAACACTGAGGTTGGACAAATCGCGTAACGTGTAAACTGTTGATCCCCTCTTTTCAGTTTAAAGCAAACAGGAGAACTAAGTGCTACTATCTGTTTCGGACATGGATGTCATGTCCCTATGCTTTACGCTATGGCAAGGATAACACTCGTACTCAGTCTTGTCTTTGCACTGCAACGTACCTTTGTCCTTCTGGATTCCCGATCGCCTACCATTTCGGCATGAATCGCTGGTATCTGCTTTGCCACAGGAAGCTTGCGCTTACACTATCTTTTTTCAACGTGGCGGAATCAAAAGCCTGAATAATGTTTGCATGGCTTCAGACCTGGGAGAAATCAGTCAGCCAGCTTGGACAATGAGATGCCCGGAAGAGAGCGAAAGAGAGAGAGAGAGAGAGAGAGAGAGCCATACGTGTTACATGCTACAAAGTTCAAGCAGGTGTGTACTTTCCCTAGAGGCATTTGGCCCTTGAGTTCTCCGTGGGGTACATGAACCGTGCACAGTGAGAACCCGTAGAATTTCAACGACAGTTGAGTTGCCAAAAGCGATAGTATAATATTGTTGTCAGGGTATGAGGCCAGTGAGCAAAGGATCTGATGATGGAGGATAATTTTGATCAATATTATTATTATGCACACACAAATGGCCGAAGCTAATCAGAAGAGAGGTAAGGGCGCCGATAATGGCCAGCCATGGCAAGCTTAACACAGAGAAAAAGAAGCATCGGAAAACCCGAATTGTGATGAGAAAAAGAAAAGTGTGATTTGTTTATCAGTCGGAGAAGTGATAAGTGAATGGCAGTAATTTTGTATTCGAATTTCATAAAAAGTTCCGAAAAGGCGGAAGTACTGTCACAAGATTTCAACTGACATACTCTCTGTGTAAACGGCATAATTAAAGAGTTGTCGAAGATCCTCAGGCTGCGTACAGTGCTCTATGTCCAGTGGACAGAGCATGTATAGAATCGCACTATTCCTGTACCCTACATGTATGCTCTATACTCTTAACCCATTGGTATGTTACATTTTTTTCCTCTTATAATCACGCTGATTTTGGTCACCTCCTTTTCCTGGCGCTTATGGAATGTTATACCTCCATCCCCTCTGCCCTCTTTTCTCAAGACCCTCCGTATATTATATACTAGTGCCTGTTCGTCTTGGTCGGCTGTCTGATGAGTGTTTCACCCGAAGCACCGAGTAGCGGCGGAAAAAGATGTTTTGCTTAATTGCTGTGTGATCTTTGTAAACGGCATAATTATGTACATACTACGGTCAACTCCACATACTTCAGTATAACGAACTCGCGTAGTGAATTTGTGATATTATTATTATTATTATTATTATTATTATTATTATTATTATTATTATTATTATTATTATTATTATTATTATTATTATTATTATTATTATTATTATTATTATTATTATTATTATTATTATTATTATTATTATTATTATTATTATTATTATTATTATTATTATTATTATTATTATTATTATTATTATTATTATTATTATTATTATTATTATTATTATTATTATTATTTTACAAGAAGTCGGAGGCGGATAATACTTTAATAACGAAGGTACGTGTTGGGTCGTAAGTATCCACGCAAACACACATCCAGTCAAAATAAGGCACTTGTCAAAGTATCCGAACGTTTTCGGTCCCTTCTCATCAAGGATTATACAGGGAATGGCTCAAGTTGGAAAGACTAAAACTTATATAGCGTAAAGATATGAGATAACAACACTCGTGACAAGGTGGAAAATTATCAAGTTCAGCACGACACAAAACTCGAAGGAAATAATAATAGTGACAAGAACATAGTGAACAAGTTAAGTTACATTGTTAACACCTCGACGAGGAGTAACACCAAACAATTGTAGCGACAACACATTTTCTTTCTGTACGCAAAGTTCAGGATCTAACTTACGGATATACAAAGCTTCTAACACAGCCAGATGCAACGCACATCTACCACGTGACAATATTGAGAACACATTATCACTGTACAACTCACGACAATTGGTACGGGCTGACAGATGTTGCTTGATGGACGAAGTGCGATTCTTAGCTCCGTTGGGTGTTGTCTCCTCCAATGTCCCGTCATCTCGCCTCTTCGCGGCATCACCACTATCCGTCTCTTTGCTTTTCCGCGGCCTTCCACGTTTTCTGACACTAGCCGTTGTGTGCGCGATGCCCAGCTGAGAACAGCGTGAAAGCTGGTGAAAGACCGACACGTAAACCACCGAAATTGACAAAGGATCTGTCTGCGTCGGGAAGGGTTACGCGAAGCCAAGTAAAAATACGGACTGGTGAGGACGCACGTACAACGACAACGGAAGTGACAACAACAGTCAATATTCGAATTCGTGGTAGACCGCGAAAACGAACCTCAATATCGAACACCGGACAAGTTGGAGTAAGAAGATCAATAGAAATCCACAATGGAGGAGACGTAGCTGAAAGGACACTGGGCATCGCGCACACAACGGCTAGTGTCAGAAAACGTGGAAGGCCGCGGAAAAGCAAAGAGACGGATAGTGGTGATGCCGCGAAGAGGCGAGATGACGGGACATTGGAGGAGACAACACCCAACGGAGCTAAGAATCGCACTTCGTCCATCAAGCAACATCTGTCAGCCCGTACCAATTGTCGTGAGTTGTACAGTGATAATGTGTTCTCAATATTGTCACGTGGTAGATGTGCGTTGCATCTGGCTGTGTTAGAAGCTTTGTATATCCGTAAGTTAGATCCTGAACTTTGCGTACAGAAAGAAAATGTGTTGTCGCTACAATTGTTTGGTGTTACTCCTCGTCGAGGTGTTAACAATGTAACTTAACTTGTTCACTATGTTCTTGTCACTATTATTATTTCCTTCGAGTTTTGTGTCGTGCTGAACTTGATAATTTTCCACCTTGTCACGAGTGTTGTTATCTCATATCTTTACGCTATATAAGTTTTAGTCTTTCCAACTTGAGCCATTCCCTGTATAATCCTTGATGAGAAGGGACCGAAAACGTTCGGATACTTTGACAAGTGCCTTATTTTGACTGGATGTGTGTTTGCGTGGATACTTACGACCCAACACGTACCTTCGTTATTATTATTATTATTATTATTATTATTATTCAAAGGATCAGTCGGGGAAGTGAACTGCCTGAAAAGCGAAAAAAACGCCAGACCCACCAGGACAGCGTTTTTTTCTCTTTTCAGGCAGTTCACTTCCCCGACTGATCCTTTGAATTTGAAGTTCTCCCAATCCTTTCCAAATTATTATTATTATTATTATTATTATACGCATTTCCGCGTTGAAGTGTAGCAGCAATATGCTGGGTCCACAGCTTCGCTTATGCAGAATGGCTTGGGTGAGAGGAGAGGGGAGAGAAAGCAACAAGGCAACCAACATTTGTGATATAGCGAACCCTTATCCATGTCTCTGTTTGAGCCCATACAAAATTGACCCTTTACAGCCAACAGCATGCAGTTCTGTTATAACGAACTTCGGCCATAGAGAACCAATTCTCCTGCACAATGGTGTTCGTTATAATTATCATGAATCGACTGTACTATTTCACAAATATATGAGAAGAACCCACCTACATGTACATATGCATGACTGCACAATAAGGGGGAGGACAAATGTCTAGAGCGCTTTACTCTTGAACGCTGAAAAGACCTGCTTTGTAATTATGTATTGCCTTCACCCCGATTATATCCGCATATATTGACCTTTGATAAATACCCATACTGATTGGTGACCACACCATCAACAGTATCAAATTCAAAAAAATCTTCTTTGACTCAATAAATACCACTGCACTTCGCCTTGTACCACTGCACTTTCCCTAAAAAATGAGCCAGTAAAGTACTTGTAACATTGAAATTGTGGGCACAAGTTATGCGATTGAGTCCATCAACTAAACCAGATTTTGAACAGTCAGACGTGCACAATCTAGCACAAACCTGACAGGGTGTACTAAGGCATGAAAGTCAGTTTAAGCACTGCTCGATAGTTGTTGTTGTTGTTGTTGTTGTTGTTGTTGTTGTTGTTGTTGTTGTTGTTGTTGTTGTTGTTGTTGTTGTTGTTGTTGTTGTTGTTGTGTTTATTTTAATTCGCAAACCAAACGGGCAGATCTGCCCAATGAAAAGGTGGCGAATGCAGATAGAAAGCAGTAATAAATGAAATTGGGGACTGATTTAATTAGGATAGAGGTGGAGAAAAACTAAGCCAGCTGATCATCAAACAGGACGTTTGGTACTCTAGGTGCTAAGGCCAGTAAGTGTGTGCGGGATCATGCTGGCGCGGAACTGGCGGAGCGTGGAGATGGCACGTATATCGCTGGGTAATGTGTTCCACAGCTGGGCGCCCCGGAACGCGAGGCAACCCTTGCCGAACCTGGTGGAAACTGGCGGTTGGCGCAGACCCATGGTGGAGTGCAACCTAGTTGGGCCAGCTGACGAAGGAACTAGGAGGGCTTGCAGTTCAGAACTTGCGTGCTCATTCCGAGACCTCCAGACCAGAACGATGAACTTCTGCCTGAATATCTCGGATACTCGGTAGGTGTCCAATTGCAGCAGGAGGGTACGCGCGGAGGTGTGATGCGAGAGTCCGAAAACCGCCCTTGCCGCCCGATTCTGCATGACTTGTAGCCGATCCAATTGGTTTGCAGTAAGAAGCGGGGAAAACGCATTGGATCCGTACATCAGGTCAGACATGATGATTGCTTTAAAGTAGAGAACTCGGCTCTGATGAGTCAAGCAGCGACGCAACCTCCATAGTGCTCCGATCCTCTGGGCCAGTCGAGCGGTGCAGCGATCAACATGGGGCGTCCATGACAGATCCGAGTCGAGGAGCACTCCAAGATACCTGGCCGCAGTAACGACAGGAATAGGCGTTTCATGACAGTTTACATTGATCGTATGCTGGGGCTGCTGAGGCTGCCTGTTGGGGTATACAGGGATCACGTGGCTCTTGGCTGCATTCAAAATGAGACCACGGGTCTGCAACCAGTCAGCAAGTGCAGAAACCGAGGCCGATAGCGTAGCAGATACCGTGTCCAGGGATGTGCTGCTGCTGATCAGCGCAATGTCATCGGCAAATTGAACTGATGAAGACTGGTTAGCTATGGTTGGAACTTCGCGGGTGTAGATACTGAAAAGGATCGGTCCTAGAACAGAACCTTGTGGCACGCCACAGGATGGTGCAGAAATGGCACACTGATCCCGTCCAATACAGATACGCTGAGTACGGCCCGACAGATAGGCGGAAAACCACTTTAGGGCTGTCCCTGTTATGCCGATATCGAATAGGTCCTGGAGTAGCCGTTCATGACGAACCTTGTCGAATGC